TAATGGCATTTGGTCGAATCCTTGTCTGTGGCCCTTAACTGTCATAAGGTCCCAGTTAATCCGCGGAGCATTGAAATCTCTTACAACAATAATGTTTTTCTTTCGACTGTCCTCGCGGAGTCGAGCGATTAACGCTTGGTCTTCGTCGGCAGGTTGATTTGGAGGCCTATATACAACGGCGACAGTAACGTTTTCGGCTTTTGGGACCAGCAAATGACACAGCAGCATCTCCAGATCATGCGCATTCACACATTTTTCAACAGGGTTATATTCGACCGCATTGCTGATATATAGGGCAACTCCGCCACCTCGCTTTTCGGTTCGGTCTCGTCTTAGCACTTGATAACCATCTAACTGTATTTGGGTGTCTGTGACATCTGGGGTGTGCCACGTTTCAGTTAATGCAATAACATCAGGACATAGTTCGGCCACAATTATTTTAAGTTTGTCGAGTTTGTTCAAGAGGCTTTGTAGATCTCCGTAGAAGGACTTAATGTTATGTAGGTTGTTGCTTCGAATTAGTTGCCCGGCCGTGTGGCCTTCGTCCAGTATGACAGGCGTCCTCCACAGGAGGGGTTTTTGTCGTCGAACAATCACTCTGTTCATTATTACTAGTCCCTTCTCTCCTTGTTCTTTCAAGGTCGCCAGCTCCGCCATCAGCGCCCTCCATTTCATTCTCTCTTGTACTGAGTAATCCGATTGAAAAAAAGACCTCTATGGCCAGGGATCCCCCCTACTAATCGTTCAAGTAGAAGATCCCTCTGGAGTTTACTTTCTAAAATTATCTTTAAAGGCCTTGGTTTCATCCCTTGAGAGCTTGTGCTATCTTTACTGTTTAGTCGGAAAAGTTTCAGAATGTTAATTGCTTCATTTTCTTTTATTATGCTACCCGGACACTCTTGCAAGGTCATGATATCATAATTTATCCTGCATCTGGGGTTATTGTTGGTTGATTCACAAAGTCCATGGACGACTATTCACAGCACCTCCATCCGACGAATTTTGTCGGATAATTGGTCTGACCGATGATGAGGCTTCCCCAATGTGGGCTTCAACGCTAGTTGCATGAATATTCGTGAGAGTATGTACTTCTACTCCCACTCTGGGTTCATTTTTATTCGGTCTTGCCTTGGTCGATTCTCCCCTCACATTAGGCTCGGGAGATGCGCATACCGTCTGGGGACTGTTTTCCTCTTTCGTCGGTCCATCTTTATCATTTTCACGCTCGGCCCTCGGTTTCCTTTCTGACGAGTCTTTGGATTTTTGCGTCCTTTCTTCATAGTCTTTTCTGTCGCCTTTTTCTCATTCTTTACTGATTTTAGAGGTTTCACGTCACTACTGATAACTGGGGTCTGATACTGCTTATGCAGGGTGTCTCGCGCTCTACTCCTCGTTACCCTGTGCGTCGATGCTGCCAACTTATCCCCTATCATGAAGGTCTGCTGGATAAAATTCTTCATGTTCCTAACTTCTTCCACTAGTTGATTTAACTTTGAGGCTAGCGTTTGACAACCGCTGCAATA